TTCAACAAAATTAATGTGTGAGAGTCCAAGAAGGACGGACAAAACCAGTCAGATATCAAACACTGATCTGAGAACTGAGTTCTGCTCATATTTATAAACTATAGAGAATAAATTGAGGTAATGTGAGAAATGTAATCTCTGATAAATGAATGATATAAGTGTGGGATGTAACCCGGGCAGGATCACTGAGAAACACGTGGGATTTAAGCACTGGAAGGTTTGGTTTATTACTGTTTTGATTGACCTTGGGAAGTTTGGAAAAGAGGAAAAATGGTATCCTAAATTAACTGGTCAAAAATATTATTTAATGTATCTGAATAAACCTATTAATTTAAATACCAACAAACTTCATTTTGGAAAAAAGTGAAAAAAAGTGAAGCTCTCCCTGAGTCTCTCCGGAAGGCGGAGCTAAAGCTGCTGTTACTCCTGATCCTGGATCAGTCAGATCGGCCTGTGCTGTTACTGCCGGAGTCTCTGAAGCCCCGCCCTCTTCTGAGCGGAGGCGGAGCTAAAGCTGCTGTTACTCCTGATCCTGGATCAGTCAGATCGGCCTGTGCTGTTACTGCCGGAGTCTCTGAAGCTCCGCCCTCTTCTGAGCGGAGGCGGAGCTAAAGCTGCTGTTACTCCTGATCCTGGATCAGTCAGATCGGCCTGTGCTGTTACTGCCGGAGTCTCTGAAGCCCCGCCCTCTTCTGAGCGGAGGCGGAGCTAAAGCTGCTGTTACTCCTGATCCTGGATCAGTCAGATCGGCCTGTGCTGTTACTGCCGGAGTCTCTGAAGCCCCGCCCTCTTCTGAACGGAGGCGGAGCTAAAGCTGCTGTTACTCCTGATCCTGGATCAGTCAGATCGGCCTGTGCTGTTACTGCCGGAGTCTCTGAAGCTCCGCCCTCTTCTGGACGGAGGCGGAGCTAAAGCTACTGTTACTCCTGATCCTGGATCAGTCAGATCGGCCTGTGCTGTTACTGCCGGAGTCTCTGAAGCCCCGCCCTCTTCTGGACGGAGGCGGAGCTAAAGCTACTGTTACTCCTGATCCTGGATCAGTCAGATCCGCCTGTGCTGTTACTGCCGGAGTCTCTGAAGCCCCGCCCTCTTCTGAGCGGAGGCGGAGCTAAAGCTGCTGTTACTCCTGATCCTGGATCAGTCAGATCCGCCTGTGCTGTTACTGCCGGAGTCTCTGAAGCCCCGCCCTCTTCTGAGCGGAGGCGGAGCTAAAGCTGCTGTTACTCCTGATCCTGGATCAGTCAGATCCGCCTGTGCTGTTACTGCCGGAGTCTCTGAAGCCCCGCCCTCTTCTGGACGGAGGCGGAGCTAAAGCTACTGTTACTCCTGATCCTGGATCAGTCAGATCGGCCTGTGCTGTTACTGCCGGAGTCTCTGAAGCCCCGCCCTCTTCTGAGCGGAGGCGGAGCTAAAGCTGCTGTTACTCCTGATCCTGGATCAGTCAGATCCGCCTGTGCTGTTACTGCCGGAGTCTCTGAAGCCCCGCCCTCTTCTGGACGGAGGCGGAGCTAAAGCTACTGTTACTCCTGATCCTGGATCAGTCAGATCCGCCTGTGCTGTTACTGCCGGAGTCTCTGAAGCTCCGCCCTCTTCTAGACGGAGGCGGAGCTAAAGCTGCTGTTACTCCTGATCCTGGATCAGTCAGATCCGCCTGTGCTGTTACTGCCGGAGTCTCTGAAGCTCCGCCCTCTTCTAGACGGAGGCGGAGCTAAAGCTGCTGTTACTCCTGATCCTGGATCAGTCAGATCCGCCTGTGCTGTTACTGCCGGAGTCTCTGAAGCTCCGCCCTCTTCTGAGCGGAGGCGGAGCTAAAGCTGCTGTTACTCCTGATCCTGGATCAGTCAGATCGGCCTGTGCTGTTACTGCCGGAGTCTCTGAAGCCCCGCCCTCTTCTGAGCGGAGGCGGAGCTAAAGCTGCTGTTACTCCTGATCCTGGATCAGTCAGATCGGCCTGTGCTGTTACTGCCGGAGTCTCTGAAGCTCCGCCCTCTTCTGGACGGAGGCGGAGCTAAAGCTGCTGTTACTCCTGATCCTGGATCAGTCAGATCCGCCTGTGCTGTTACTGCCGGAGTCTCTGAAGCTCCGCCCTCTTCTGAGCGGAGGCGGAGCTAAAGCTGCTGTTACTCCTGATCCTGGATCAGTCAGATCGGCCTGTGCTGTTACTGCCGGAGTCTCTGAAGCCCCGCCCTCTTCTGAGCGGAGGCGGAGCTAAAGCTGCTGTTACTCCTGATCCTGGATCAGTCAGATCGGCCTGTGCTGTTACTGCCGGAGTCTCTGAAGCTCCGCCCTCTTCTGAGCGGAGGCGGAGCTAAAGCTGCTGTTACTCCTGATCCTGGATCAGTCAGATCGGCCTGTGCTGTTACTGCCGGAGTCTCTGAAGCCCCGCCCTCTTCTGAACGGAGGCGGAGCTAAAGCTGCTGTTACTCCTGATCCTGGATCAGTCAGATCGGCCTGTGCTGTTACTGCCGGAGTCTCTGAAGCCCCGCCCTCTTCTGGACGGAGGCGGAGCTAAAGCTGCTGTTACTCCTGATCCTGGATCAGTCAGATCAGCCTGTGGTGTTACTACCGGAGTCTCTGAAGCCCCGCCCTCTTCTGAACGGAGGCGGAGCTAAAGCTGCTGTTACTCCTGATCCTGGATCAGTCAGATCCGCCTGTGCTGTTACTGCCGGAGTCTCTGAAGCTCCGCCTTCTTCTGGACGGAGGCGGAGCTAAAGCTGCTGTTACTCCTGATCCTGGATCAGTCAGATCCGCCTGTGCTGTTACTGCCGGAGTCTCTGAAGCTCCGCCCTCTTCTGAGCGGAGGCGGAGCTAAAGCTGCTGTTACTCCTGATCCTGGATCAGTCAGATCGGCCTGTGCTGTTACTGCCGGAGTCTCTGAAGCCCCGCCCTCTTCTGAACGGAGGCGGGGCTAAAGCTCATTTGCATTAAAAGGGACACACACAAAAACAGCACTTTTTGCTCACACCCAAAAAGGGGCAAATTTAACAAGCTATAATAAATGATCTGGTATTTTAATCAGAAATTTCAGACACATTCTGGAGACACCAGAGATTAATATTACATCTTGTGAAAAGGGGCGTACCTTTAACCCTCTGAGGACCAAAAACGCCCCTGCGTTTTGATCATTTTTTTCCACATACCTGCAACATAGACTTAAAATACTCAATTGGTGTTGACTAAGAGAGGAAACTCATTAATTTAACTTTTGTTGAATTGTTTAATTTTGTACATTTTGTTGTTTTATTGCATGTATGATTGGATGATATGAATATATGTTATTTAAGAGAAAGACGGAGAAGAAGAAAGATATGTGCAGAATGAAAGCAGGGGTAGAAGAGAAGAAATAGAAGTGAAGAGCAAAATATACAGTATATGACATTCCTGAACGTGTGTTTGGTCTGATAGGAAAAGATCAAACAGAATTATCCATTATGTCACAGTTTGTGTAGCGGCTCAGCGTGAGCTCAGATGTCAAAGACTGATGAAATATAGATATATAATTACTGTGTTGTTTCCACAGTTTATGAGACTTTCGCAGATATGGAAACAGACATGTTCTGATACAGAGGAACATGTGATCAATTCCACACACACACACTTACAGCACAGAAGACACACCAAAGATTAGGAAACAGATCAGAGCATATAATATATAGATGATTAAAGAAATCAATGATATATAAAAGAATAATAATGCAACATAACAATTAATTTAAGTAATACATAGAATAGAATTTCATTAGTGTAAAATATTTTAATAGAATGTCCTTTATTAGACCATTTTTATTCAGAAAATATATTAATGGACATTTTTAAAAAGGTTTCTACTGGAATCATTTTAGAGTTTATGACAAATATTAAATTTAAAGATTCTATGTAAATGTTATTATTACTGTTGTTATTATTTATCCGATTACGTAAATTGTAAATTAAAAATTGTTAAATTTTTGCAAACGCATTGAACTGATTGAACCTTTAGTGCGATGAAACAAGCCACTTTAGTTTGGATAAGAGCGTCTGCTACATGCATTGCCTACATGTAAACGAATTGGACAGCAACTAGGAAAACCCATCCCAGAATGGGAGAATACATCATCCAACATACACTATCTCACGACCAATTCGTACGAATTCGACGCATGATTAAAAAGTGGCTAATTCGTACTAATTCGTACGATTTGTCTAAACCCACGTGATGGTTATGTTTAGGGGCGGGGTAAGGGGTAGGTCATTTGTACGAATTCATACGAATTGGCCAATTCGTAAAATATGTACGATTTAGCAAAATCGTATTAATTCGTACGAGTGAGGTCGTATGAATTGTTACGAATTAGCCACTTTTTAATCATTCGTCGAATTCGTACGACTTGGTCGTGAGATCGGGTTGGTCGGGCCAGATCTGATACGGGTCCAGTGGGCTGGATCTGATACGAATTGAATCCAGAATAAAGTCGGGCCAGATGTGGGCCGGATCTGGTACGCGTTGAATCCAACATAGCTGAATTTATTGATTTTATTGGGTGTTATTCAAGAGCACCTTTATTTAGTAGGCTAAATGTTGAAATTAATATTAACTAAGATTAATAAATGCTGTAGACGTATTGTTCATTCTTAGATCATGTTAACTATGAACCTTATTGTGAAGTGTATACCAATTAAACAGTTACACTTTTTTCACCTAATTTATTTTAGACATATACTAATGTTACTTTTATTTCGTGTTATTCAAGATATATAAGATTATTCCCATTCAGGGCAGTAATTCACTCTCAGAGTTAAAATATCCAGACAGAAGTTCCCATGTTATTGTGTTTTGCCTCAGCTCTCAGTCTTCTTCACTGTAGAAGGCAGTGGAGTTCAGCGATGTGAATGTGGTAAAGTCATCAGATAAACATGTAAATTATGTTAATTGATGCGGAAGTCTGTGACCTTTTGAACGAGGCGCCGGAATTCCGGATATTTGCGTCACTAAAAACCCGTCCGCCCAACGCGATCACACACACACACACACACACAAGTCTACTCAACTCTAATCTCTCGCGCTTCGGACTCTGTCTGGACTCTCTGTAATCGACCATGTATTCCTAATAACCGGTTGGTGTTTTAACCTGAAGCATGTGCGGATCGCCGTCCATTACTCGTGTAGTTGTGCTGTGTGTGTTGTTGAACTGCTCGCTGTGTGTAAAGATCCTCCGTCGAGATGTTCTCAGACTCAGAGAGGTGAGCTGATTCCTTCTGAACTCACAGGCAATGATTTATTACACGGTTTTTACTCTGAAAGTGCTCCTCTGAGGTGTTTTAATGGGAAACCATGGAAAACAAACTGTTTAATGTATTTACTTCATAACTCGTCATGAGAAAATATCAGAACAACTTACTAACGCCTAAACCTGTTTCTATAGAAATCATCTGTCTATTACACTCTGTCCAAATTTGACGTAGCATACTCATCTAAAACGCAATTTGGCTACTAATTTGATTAAATCATAGACTATAGTGTTGGGAAATCAGTAAACATGGAAGCTACTTGAGAAAAATGATCAATAAAATCAAAATGTTTGTTTACCAATTAACCCCATTCGACAGCTGCTATTACAAACTAAAATATATATATATATTTTTTACACATTATGACCGAAATATCCCACTCTGGGTTTATAACTACTCGAGTCAGACCTGTTGAAGCCCTTTTCCACATATTAATGTATTTTACCAACGATATAATCTCATATAATTATCAGACATGTGTCTGTTCCAGTCACTCAGTGGAAAATGAAGGGGAGGATTTGGTTTTCTTCAAATTTCCCCTTTACTTTTTTGCTGAATTAGTAGAGGCTCGAGCAATTAAACACGTCAAAAATTATTTAAAATATAGACGTTGCATAAAACAAACTATTTTTTTCCATAGTTTGAAAGCAGAAAGATCATGTAAATCACTATATTACACATGGGAAACAAAACAGTCACTGTGAAAGTATAAACGCATTACTGTAAATGTTAGATACTTTGCGTGCTGCATTGCGTACTGTTCTCATTTACATCAATTCAACTCAATAGGTCAAGATTAAAACATTGTTGGGTGTTTTCATGCGTTTGTCTTTAAAGTTTCAGAGCGACTCGCTTTTTACAAAAGAACAACACCAACTTCAATTTACAACATGTAAAGATGATAAAATTGCCGTAAAAATACTTCTCAAGTGAGTTAAACGACAGAAACATGGTGTACAATACATAATGAAATAGTTATTGATTATTAGTTCAGTGTATTCAATTCAACTTCACTGAAAACACCCACAGCGTTTACTGTCTGGCTTCAACACACACATCCACATCAAGTCATATATTATAACACAATGCAATAAACAGCACTCCATACAAAAACAACATGTAAATCATCACCGATGTCTCTGTGTTTTATCATGTTGAATGGCTCCTAGTAGGCTATATTTACTGTATTTACTGTATCAAATAACAAAAATCGTACCGACACCTGTGTGTGTGTGTGTGTGTTATTTGAACAATGACAAAACATCTGCTTTGGATTTGAATGGCGTTAGCATGATTTATAAGTAGCGTTCATTTGATTTACAATCTGCACATTTCAGATTTCATGGTGAATATTGTCTCTTATTTATTGTGTCGTGACTTTAGGGCGATTATTGCTCGTTTATTTGAATCTTTTATAGTTCTGTAAAGTCAAAGTCAAACCAGAGCAACATTTCAAGATTTATATTCACAACGCATAATGTTTCAGTGCAGCTTTATATTGTTCACATGTCCATCTTCTAGGTTCATGAATGAAAATGTGTTTTATATTATATTTTAGTATGGATTAGGGTGTTTAATGTTGAGCTAATCGATTAACTCGGGTGTAGAAGTGCTGTTCGATCTCTCTCTCTCTCTCTCTCTCATCAGAAGATCAGTTTGATCCGCTCTGCCAAAACCTGTTAATGTAAAATGATTAATAATTACCGTTTAGAAAAGAACGCAGACGTATGTTTGATTACGATTGATCTCTTGATGGTTTGCTTTTAATTAGTTAATGCTTAGATTGACACACGTCAACACTCATGTTGTTTAGCGGACAATGATGTTTCATCTGAAAGTTTCTTTTGTGAGACTCAACACAAGCTAAATCTCTCTCTCTCTCTCTCTCTCTCTCTCTCTCTCTAAAGGAATGGATTGGTGCTGGTGAGTAATTACACAACTCTTCACTTCACAATATCTACTTTGTTTGTTCTATGTAATGTTTTACGCTTTAGTTTAAATGGGGACGTTCAGAGACGTGTTTTGTGTTTCAAAATCTCAAAACATTTACTTTTAACCTGTTAACTCTCACTCCTTTTTGAGCGTAGATCTGAACTTAAATGCTTGTAACTCAAGATTTTATGCAATATATATATTTTACAAAATAATTTGGCCTATGAAATCAAAGCCACGTGTCGGTAACACGTTATATTAGTGTCCTTGTTACGGATGTTACATGTATTAAATGCATGTTACATTAAAGGAGTAGTTCACTTTTAAAAAAAACTTTTGCTGATAATTTACTCACCCCCATGTCATCCAAGATGTCCATGTCTTTCTTTCTTCAGTCGAAAAGAAATGTAGGTTTTTGATGAAAACATTCCAGGATTTTCTCCATATAATGGACTTCAATGGGGTCCAAACAGTTCAAGCTCCAAATGAGAGTTTCAGTGCAAACTGTTCAAAGGGCTTTAAACGACTCCAGATGATGAATAAGACGATTTATTTAATAAATAAATAACAAAGTTTAAGTTTTATAAGCTCAAATGCTCGCCTTGCTCTCTTCTGTGATGAGCGTTCGTGACTCTCCTGTTCGAACTCGTTCATCAAAATGAACAAATCTTTTTTCGAGTCATGACTCGAAGGGTCCCAGATAAGACCCTTATTCATCGTCTGGAATCGTTTAAAGCCCTTTGAACAGTTTGCACTGAAACTCTCATTTGGACCTTGAACCGTTTGGACCCCATTGAAGTCCATTATATGGAAAAAAATCCTGGAATGCTTTCGTCAAAAACCTTAATTTGTTTTCAACTGAAGAAAGAAAGACACGGACATCTCGGATGACAATTATCAGCAAAAGTTTTTTGAAAAGTGAAGTACTCCTTTAATGTCACGTGGACATCAAAACATGCAAACTCAGAGCGAGGGTTTAAACTCTACTTTAAATTTCTTAAAATTCTCGTGTGTTTATAAATGATTTATGGAACAAATCTGATGAAATGGCGCATGTTTTGTTCCCAGATGAACATTGTAAGCTGACTTTGAGACGTGTGTAAATGATAACGAAACACGAAGCGCATCAGACGTCAGTGTGTTCCCAGATGCACGTGATTGAACCCCAAACACACGGTTCATGTGAACGGAGACGCTGGAACAAACACGTAACCTGCGTGTAAATAAGCACGCAGCGCAGATATTTATTTCATTATCATATAGACCATTTCACAAGATGTAAACAACACTGGTCCAGAAGCACTTCCGGTTTCAGTTTTTTAACACTACATAAAAGCTGGGATAAAATACAACCAACCGAACATTTAAAACTCAATCAAAAAGTCTTTAAGATGTTTTCTTTACATGTGAAATAAAGAAAACAGTTACAAACTGAAACTGGAAGTGCTTCTGGACCAGTGTTGTTTACATCTTGTGAAATGGTCTATAAATATCACTAGAGCGCTTTTTACCTTAATGAGAAATATCAGGTTTTCGTATTGAGGCCCAAGATGTCGCCTCACCTCTGATAGAGATCCCTGTCTGTCACCTGACCTCTCTGTTTCTCGTGTGTGTGTGTGACTGAAGATCGGCTGCTGCCTCGGCTCAGACTCCACACCGTTCTCCATCAGCGGGACGTGTGTGTGCGCGTGAGGCTGTGTGTTCATCCTCTGCGTATGTACAAGACCATCTTCTCAGTGATTATCCCTGCCTGTGTGTAACTTACTCACTTCATGCTTTCTGTCTTTTGTTTGTAGTGAAAAATGAAACGCTGGAGATTAACTTCAGTGACTCTGAATCTGGTGTCTCCGACACGCTGCGCCTGATCCCGCAGACACAGCACAGTGTTCTCTGGGTAAGTCTCAGGCCAACGCTCCTTTATCTGGGTTAGTTTGGGTCAAACTATTGCAAGTCTAGACCAGAGGCATATCTTGGTTTGATTCAGGGCATTTATTGTGAACATCAAGACTCAACTCATCAAGTCGTGTGTAGGCTCAGGTCCTCCATCTGGTCTGGATACGGCCCAGATCCGGCTGACTACATCATGCGTTGTGACCGTGTGTAGGCGCAGGTCCTCCATCTGGTCTGGATACGGCCCAGATCCGGCTGACTACATCATGCGTTGTGGCCGTGTGTAGGCTCAGGTCCACCATCTGGTCTGGATACGGCACGGATCCGGCTGACTACATCATGCGTTGTGGCCGTGTGTAGGCTCAGGTCCTCCATCTGGTCTGGATACGGCCCAGATCCGGCTGACTACATCATGCGTTGTGACCGTGTGTAGGCGCAGGTCCTCCATCTGGTCTGGATACGGCCCAGATCCGGCTGACTACATCATGCGTTGTGGCCGTGTGTAGGCGCAGGTCCTCCATCTGGTCTGGATACGGCACGGATCCGGCTGACTACATCATGCGTTGTGGCCGTGTGTAGGCTCAGGTCCTCCATCTGGTCTGGATACGGCCCGGATCCGGCTGACTACATCATGCGTTGTGGCCGTGTGTAGGCTCAGGTCCACCATCTGGTCTGGATACGGCACGGATCCGGCTGACTACATCATGCGTTGTGGCCGTGTGTAGGCTCAGGTCCTCCATCTGGTCTGGATACGGCCCGGATCCGGCTGACTACATCATGCGTTGTGGCCGTGTGTAGGCTCAGGTCCACCATCTGGTCTGGATACGGCCCGGATCCGGCTGACTACATCATGCGTTGTGGCCGTGTGTAGGCTCAGGTCCTCCATCTGGTCTGGATACGGCACGGATCCGGCTGACTACATCATGCGTTGTGGCCGTGTGTAGGCTCAGGTCCACCATCTGGTCTGGATACGGCACGGATCCGGCTGACTACATCATGCGTTGTGGCCGTGTGTAGGCTCAGGTCCACCATCTGGTCTGGATACGGCACGGATCCGGCTGGCTTCTTATGATGTAACGAGTACTCTGGATGTTATTGGAAGTGTTTCCAGTTCTGGATGACCTAAACTATGCAGCCTAACAATCACTTAACTGATTTGAATGACAGAAAATGATAATGTTGTATGTGTATGGCTGGTTAAAGAGATGTTTTAGTCTAGATTTACACCTCTCGAACAATGTTAGGAAGGCTGTTCCAGAGTTTAGATGCTGTTAACATTTGGTTGTAAGTGACTTTGTGTAGTTTTGTTTACGAGTTTCAAGGCTGAATGAACGTCAAACTCCACCGAGTGCAGTTTTGCATCAAATACGGTTGAGAAAACACACGGAGCGTTATCCTGTTGCTTTGTTGATGAACCTATTTATTTAGCTTTGAAGGAAAATGGTTAGTTGCATTCTGTTATTTGTGTTTTTTCGCAAGATTAGACTTATTGGTGAATCACAACCCTGAGGTTGAGAAACACTGGTCGAGTAAATGCAACGGATCACTTTAAATGAATGTTATTTGGTTTATAGCAGGGCTTTTGAGGTCCAGGGAACGTCTCGAGCTAAAACTGTAAAACCACACTGATCAAGCTCAAAGTATACTTCCATTTGTACGTGTGTGGCAGTGAATGAGTATGTTTCATCATTCATGTTTGATTAAGCGCCTGTGTTTGCACATGGTTCAAACAAAGTCCACTTTGACGGGTTTCATTGTTCAGATGTACACATACATCATCATTGCCACATAGGCCCCATCACACACACACACACACCGGTGCACTGCAGCTCCAGGCGCGACGCAAGTGTTTTGTGCTAGTTTCAGCCCGACGCAGTTATCATTTTCACGTGCTGATTGTTGGCGAGTTGCTATTTTGAGGAACTGAAATAGACTGAGCCGTTGACCAGCTGCACCTGCTCTTAAAGGGTACATATCATGCTTTTAAATCATTCATTTTTACTTATAAAGCATACATTTGTGGTCTATATAAAGCATAACTGCAATGCTTGGGTGTGAATTCCTCATTATTATAGCTCCACAAGCCCCTTTTCTGATGTGCGACCCGTTTCAAAGCGGCCCCTTTAAATAAAAAGGAGATGCGTCACACCCCGCCCGCTCTCCAGGTCGATGAGTTCACGGTTCAACTCCCCACGTTCGGCCATTATTGTAGTTTGATTAGAGATATACGATTATATACGATACCTTCAAAGAACATTTTTATTCACACGTTAATAAAATGTCAACAACAGAAGACTTGTCCATCAAGCCTTACATATTCCAGCCACAGCGAGCGAGTCGATAAAGACGACGAACCTGCAGAACAAGCTCTTCATGTATTGGTATGTGAGTTAACTGTTTTGTGTTATTAGTGAAAGTCGACTATTTCTCTTGTTAAAACAAGCACACTGACAAGATAAATGACTGCGGTCTGATCTTACCACAAACAATCTGTGCTGATAATATGATGCGTTTAGAAAAGCAGCTAAAACTCAAGAACAATAATACTGCAGACGTGTAACGTTACAGAAAAACTAAAACAAAGAAAGACAAAGGTACTGCTAAACCACGACCATGTGTTTTAATAAAGTAAAGAACTTTATTTTCATTAACGATATTTACAGCTTATCAAAACGCTCTGTTCGTCGTCTCCAAAGATAGAAGGAATTTAACGTTACCTCTCATTCAGACGAAGTCGATCGGCAAACCCTTCTGTATAACGAATCCTTGAAGTGCTTCAGGTCACTAACGTACATCCAACAACCGAACATTTTGACTTGCCCTCTCGTAACTTCTGCATCATTGAGCTCGGACTACAAAATCGGAGCGAGAAATAATAATGGCGGATTGCTCGAAGTGTTGGGCCGGTAGTCGATGTCCTTATTTGTCAGTTCCGCTGCAAATACGGTGACGTGATAGTTCAAAAAACGTCAGAAAAATCTGAACAGGTTGAAAAATATGACCAAAACAGAATATAAAGATAAAAACAAAGCACCTGAAGAGAATAATTTCATCTTTTCTGTGCTTATAAACACTCCAAATATACAACACAATGCATTTAAGGGGTAAAAAAGTGGATTTTGCATGATATAGTCCAACTCGTTAAGAGAATAGGGACGACCTTTTAGACCAGCGCCGGGAGCGCCGACCATTTGTCCCGTCATTAAACTAGTAGTGTGACTCTCCTTTAAGCTAAAATGATTTTATGTGATCATAACAGTCGTGTGTTGTTCTTCCCCAGTGGATAACCGGTGATGATCAGCCTCACGCAAGAATTCAGACACACGAAACGAACAGGACGTCCCATCAGACCGCTGTGAGTGAATTCATGTGTTCCTTTATCTCTGGTTAATGACATTCATCCTTTATTTCTTAGTCTTAGCGAGGGCAACTTTAGTGAAGCGGATTTTTTATTTTATTCATGGAGATGTTCTCTTTTTTTTAAATATGTAGTAACCGGTTTTGATTTAAAACTTTATCTTTGCCTTCTGATCATTTTTTTTTTTTGTGGTCGTTTTAATTTCCCGCTTAACCCTTATGTATAATGCATTAAAAATGCAGTCGATATGCCTGCTAATGCACCTTATAATGCATTATATTATTGTAACTGCAGTTCTAATATATGATAATACTCATCTAGTCATTGACACACCTTTAATGCATTCAAACACACAGGACACAACCGTATTATAACTTACGCTGTAAATACTTTGCTAATGCACTGACACGCAAGGCTAATTCAGGATTTATGAATGCCCTGTTGGTCATCTGTGAACGCTTCACACTTTTAAATACTCTTTTACCGTCAGATGGCTGAAGGGTGAGACGAATAATGTCACTGAACACAGTTTTTGAAAATGCATTTATTACACAAATGCAGATTCACACACACACACCCCAGATTTAAGAACAAATAAATCAACATTTAACCCTCAGGTGCTCTTCGTTTCGGAGTCACACTTGTTATCTTCCCGGTCAAAAGTGACCGGACACCTAAAAATGAAACTTTTCTCCATCCCAGTAAAACCAATGCAATTTATTTTTGTTCTATAATATTTATTCTTTTTAATTTAGTATTTTGAGACAATTTAATTGAATTTATTAATATTTATGCAATATTTATGGTTTATTTTTGCCATGGAAAAATATATATATATTATTTTTTTCAAAAAAATATGAATGCAGTATTTTATGTTAATATAGAGTCTAGGCCTTCAGAAAAAAAAATATTTTTTGAAGAAAATTAGCACCATCTGGTTACAGTATAGAGAAAAGGTGTAGAATCATGGTGTAACCACTAGATGGCATGTACAGCTCTCTATGGAGAGGCATGTGAATTCCCCAGATGTTTATGAACACATTTTTGTTGTTGTTGGTGGATTTGTATATATAGTTGAAACAATCTCAAAAACGGTTTCTTATAAAAAAAAATTGACAAACAAAAATTCACAATTTTTTTTCTTCATTTTTTTTTTTTTTTACAATTTCCTATGGGGGTCATTTTTGACCAAAGACCACAAGACTATTTTTTTTAGCATGCTCAGATCATGACCTAAATTTTTTTGTGTGTTCACATACCCAATGCCATAAAAGTCACCAAGTTTCGTAACATCTCGATGAAGCTGTGATTTTTAAAAATTCAAAACATACTTTTTGTAATCAAAATTTATTGGTGTAAGTGTATAAAAGTGTGTTTGTATGTGTGTGTTTGTGGGTGGGTGTGTCTGTTTTGCACTCTAGATTGTTGTAGAGCGTCACCCCTTTCCTGCGGTGTACTTTTTTTTAGAATTGTGCCCTATTTGTAGATTGTACATAGAAAAATTCAGAGAATTTTTTTTTTTTTTTTCAATTTTCCATTCATTTCCTATGAGGTCATTTTTGACAGAAGAGCAAAAGTGTGACTCATTTTTTACGACCACTTAAATTGCTCGAATCATGACCTCAATTTTTTTGTGTGTTTACCTACCCAATGCCATAAAAGTCACCAAGTTTCGTAACATTGCGCTGAAGCTGTGATTTTTAAATATTCAAAACAGAAAATTTTTCGGCCAGAAATGAGCGAAGAGCACCAGAGGGTTAAAAGCTTATTTGACAGATTTTTCTTGTATTTAGTATTTTTAAGGGATGTTTTAATTCCACTGAAGCTGTTTGTAAGTGTGTGTGTGTGTGTGTCTCCCTCCAGTGGATCCTGAAGTACGGCTGTTTCCCGGTGCGGCGCGGCTCCACGGTCACAGTGTCCGTTCACAAAGGCGCAGAGATGCTGATCCGTCAATCTTACACCGTCACAGGTCTCTCTCTCTCTCTCTCTCTCTCACACACACACACACACTCTCTCTCTCTCTAAAAATGTCCCAAATCTGCACCACAATACCAAGATTCAGCATTTCTATGTGCTGTTTTTAACCAGATGATCTTCCAGTTCCTGAAGTCTCTGTGGACGACCGTGATAAACACTCAGGTCTCTCTCTCTCTATATATATATATATATTTCTAAAGTTTATTGAAGTTTCTGGCATATTGACTGCCTTGACGTGTGTGTTCCCAGATGATGCAGTGCCTGACGCCCGTGTGACTGTGGACGAGCGTCATAAGCGCTTCACTGTCCGTCTGGAAACGAATCGACTGGTGAAGATCAGCCTGTGCTACAAACACTCGTTCCGGGAGTGTGTGGGCTTTCATTTCCAGAAGGTGTGTGAAAGATTATAAAGAAATGAACCAAACCAAGGAGTAACTGCAACATTTTAAAGATTGTAATCCCTGTTTTGGAGCAAACCACCTCTGCCTCATCTTACATCATCAAGGAGTCGTGTGTGTGTGTGTGTGTGTGTGTGTGTTGCAGATCGATCCGGCTGTCCATCAAACCGTCAATCTGAGCTTCCCGTTCCTGGTTCCGTGTGTGTGTGTGCAGGTGTGCTGCTCTTACACACTCTTTTCATTTCACATTTAATTTAATTTTTTTGTCATGTGTACGTCTGCATTAACTGTGTTCACAGCTGTGGTTCACCAGCCCTGATGCCAGACGAGTCACACACTGCCCTCTAAAGGAGGGAACGCTGCCACGTGAGTGTGTGTGAGTGTGTGTGTGATTGTTCTAAGTCTCCACTGTAGAGTAAAGGTCTACCAGTATGCATGTATTAGCAGTATTTGCATCTAAAATGTTATTATTTTCCTTTGACATTGCCATTTTTATTCATTTTATTTGTTTCTCATTTTAAAAATGTCTAAAGTTTTTATTAACATTTTTCACTTTTTTGTTTTTGTTTTAGTATATCAAGTATAAACTAAATGAAAATGAGAAATGTTGCATTGGCAACTATATGAAATCCGAAAAAGTTATTTCAGTTCATGTTTATTTTATATTTTTAGTTTTAAATAACAAAAACAACTATCTATGGGTTTGTTTATTTAGTTTTAGTTAACTTTAATAACCCAGTAAAAAGATGACGGATGAAGAGACCCATCATGAAATATTATAAGGGATGTTTGTGTGCGTTTGATGCAATCAGTCCAGGAGTAAAAGACCAGATGTGATGATGTGTTTCTGATCATGTGACCTCAGTGTGTGTGTGTGTGTGTGCCTGCAGATGGCGCTGATATCTTGTCCTCCAGCTCAGCAAGAGTCCTCGGCTCTGTTCTGCATTGGGAGCCTCTCTGTCCTGACGACCAATCAGATGTCTCGGTCTCTCTGTGCTGGCGAATCGGCATGCAGAACTCTGACTGTGTCCCCGCCCCCAACGCCACCCTCTACGGGACTAAACTGGTACTGACTCGAGCGGGGCCGTCACATTTACACACTTACTCGCTTCCCAGCTGGTGTTCGCTGCAACAGTCGGTGTTTAAAGAGTGGTGTGGTGTATGGTTGTCACATGACCTCATCATATTACATGTTCTGTGTAAAAATGACTTAACAGTTCAGTCAAATGAGTCCGTAAAGAGATGCAATTAATTCCTCACACACACTTAAAATTCTATGTGAACTTTGGTGCCCTGCATATACTGTAGGTTTAGTCAAAATAAGTATTTCATGCCCAGTATAATAATAATATTTTAAAATATTTTTAGAGCTTTGAAATGTTTAATCGTGATTTATAGCATCCAAAAAAAGTTGTTTTTTTTTTTTACATAATATATGTGTGTAATGTATATAATTATTTTGTATATAAACACACACACACACATGCATGTATATATTTAAGAAAAATGTGTTATTTATATATAAAATATTTCTATTTATATATGGTATATACATGCAAATATTATATATATATATATATACAAAATAATTATACACCGTACACACACATATATTATGTAAACACAAACTTTTATTTTGGACTGCGATTAATCGTTGCACAAGTCATGACGTCAAGAGACATAATACGTCATAATCCAAGCGGAACAAACAATACCTACATAAACGTGAAACGCTAAATCTGACATAATAATAAAAAATAAATAAATATACAAAGAAATGTAAAAAAGGTAAAACACGCCCCTTCATTAGCATACAGAGGAAGAAATGTGTGAAAAAGGGAACAAATACATAAATAAATGTGAAAATAAATAAAAGTGGGGAAAATATAATTATACATGAATAAGGAAATAAAGGTATAAATACTAATTTATTTATTTTCCCTTTTTTTATATTTATTTATGTATTTTACTTTTTTTTTTTACATTTATTTTTGTATTTATTATGATGTCAGGTTTGGCATTCTGTAAACAGAGACAAATGGAAGTGCATATATCACACAACAGATGCATGTATATATATATATATATATATTCTGAAAGCGTTTTGCTTTTTCTACAGAAGTATAACGTGTCTGCTGTCGACGAACATCCTCAGATGTGTGTGAAGGTAACGCACGCTCCACCACACATCAGTGCATGATTAAAAGTGTGTGTGTTTCTCAAGTGTGCATACTTTGTGTTGTAGTTTTCTCTGAACGGCAGCCGGCGAGTGTTCTGTCCCTTCGAGTCGGGTGAGCAGCGCTCGTGTGTGTTAGCATGTCTCGTCTGTCCTCGTGTCTGACCGTGTGTGTGATGTTCCTCAGAGAGCCGATCTCAGTGGAGTGTGAGGGTCGTCCCCGGGTCTCTGCGTCTGCATGTGTACCTGACGTCTGACACCGCCGCTGCTTTCGCGGCGCAGCTCTGCGTCCGAGATGGAGACGTGTGTGTATCGCGAGGACTCGTCACCTCGCGGCAGCTGGTTAGTGAGAGTCTTCCATCAGGGACATCGACTACTAACATGTGATGGGAAAATCATTTGATACAAGGCAAAATTAAACACTTTTTACTTCGTCATGCCTTAAAAATCTTGAATGTAACTCGACACCCTCACCTCATTTAGTATGCGTGGTTCTATGAATATGCAAATGAGCCCCCCGTCCAACAGTTTGGGTTCAGTAAGCATTTTTATTTTATTTTCTGGGGGAAATAAATAAAATAAATGAATTTTTTTATTAATCAAGGATGAATTAAATTCATAAAAAGTGACAGTAAAGACATAATTATAATGTTACAAAAGATTATATTTCAGACAAATGCTGTTCTTTTGAAGAATCCTGGAAAAAAAATGTATTACACATTGATGATGATGATAATCATAAATGTTTCTTGATCATAGAGTGATTTGTGACACTGAAGACCAGAGTAATGATACTGAAAATACACAGGAATAAATTACACTTTAAACTATATTAAAATAGAAAGTAGTTATTTTAAATTGTCATAATATCTAACAATAATAAATGCAGCTTTGGTGAGCAGAAGAGACTTATAATCCTCTATACATGTATTGTGTGTAACCCTCCCTCCTGTAATGCTGGTGTCCACAGGACGGGGGCGCCGCCGAGATGAGCCTGCGCTTCCCCTTCCTCTCATCAGGATTGTGTGTGCAGGTAACATCATCACTTCATTACACACATTATATTGAAGCGGATCAAAACCTTTCGTCAAAGTTATACATGTATTTTGAGCATGTACCCGTTCTTGACAGCTTTGAACTTGATCCACTTCAAATGTTGACTACTGTAGTTTAATGTAAAACGGACACTAAAACTCTCTTTTTCTCACGCAGTAATTTTTATTTTAGGTGAATTATCCACGATACAGATTGTAACTATCATCGATATATATTGTTGAATTTTTGTATTGCGTTATATTGTTACACCCCTAGTCTAAACGAACCAGATGTGAAAATATAAATGCAAAATAACAGTAGTGCAAATTGTGTTGTATGTGGTAAATAATATTCTAGTATTCCGTCGTGTGTGTGTGTGTGTGTGTGTGTGTGTGTAGGTGTGGCGCTTGGATCTCCTTGGAAGAAGAATAATCTGCCCTGACTGTAAGCAAACTGCACAATATTTATCTTCAATATGCAAAACAATAATGTATAATAAGCTTAAATTATCTTTAAAGTATATTTCAAATTATATAATCTACATGCATGTTTCTCATTCTTTTTGTGACAAGAAAACACCCCTATATATGGAGTTAATAATATGCCATAATTAACCCTTTACCTGTCACCCCCCCTTTTTGATAATTGACATTAAAAAGCACTATACAAACTTAAATGGTTGTAATTCAAGAATGCTTTGGAATATATACACACAAGTTTGGTCTTGTTTTAAAGAAAACAATCAGCAGATTATTACTGAAGTGAAAGTTTTTTACAAAAAAATATTATACAGTGAAATATTTTACAAAATATTTTTTACTAAATAATTACTATAAAATGAAAGATATATATCTAACGAAGTTGTGTTCCAAATTTAAAGTTGATATCACAAAAAATAAAGTTCCCATGAGATTTTGTTTTGGCGTTATACCAAAAATAGCCACCGGGTGCCATTGATTGAATTCCATTGAATTTAATTGTATGCATTCTGCCATAACAATTTAATAAATTTCTATCCAAATATCACTTCTGTCACTAAATATGGAACCTTGAGACTCAGACCTTTCTGACAATATGTGTTTTGTCAAGGTTAGAAAAGGTTTTGATAATAAATTATGAAAGATGATGCCCAAAAGAGGAGGAGCCTAATAAAAAATACCGTTTCTATGGTAATGCAACGTCTAATTTCAAAACGGTTTTCACAGGATGAATTCTCAGTTGTAAGCTTTCAAATGATACATAATTTATGATAATTACTAAAATATGTGATATAATAAAAAAATATTTGTATATATATAATATATTATACTTTTTAGAGAACTTCTTACTTTACTTTCTTAAAAACATAATTTAATCTTTTTTTATTGACAAATACTAGATTATGTTTTATTATGAACTTTTACCACTAAAACCAAAGTTTCAATTATTAAAAGTGTGTGCGTCCACTTTTTGTGACAAAGGTCAGAAACTCCTGTAATGAGTTTTTAAAAAAATTTTTTTTTTTTTTTTTTTTTTTTTAGGTGCACTCTTGTCATAAATTCCTATATTACTGTTCATTCGTAATTTGTAAGAAAAAAACAGCGCTAAAATATCTATTTAGGGGTCTTAGACCTTTCCAACGATATATAGTTTGTCATAGATTAGGATTTAATAGTAAATTTAGGTTGCCCGTATACAGGCAAGTGACCGTTACAAACAAATCCAGCATTTTGCAAAAAAAAACTTGATCTGCTTTGCAAAGGAAAACTGGACTCGCAAACAAACAGAACGATTTGTTGGATGGTTTGTATTTATTTGTGAAATATTATCTAGGCTCACTTATTTATATTTGCAAAACACAATGCATGTGTGTTACTCCTCTGCAGTTTCGCTCAAATTGACCTGTGTACTTGCACATCGCTTTCTGTTTGTTTGCAAGTCGAGTTTTGCTTGGCAAAATGCTGGATTTGTGTGATTAATTATGGCAAAATATTAACTCTATATGCAGTGAGTATGCAGTATTTTGCAAGTTCTCCCACTAAGAAATCATGAAGGGGTCTGAAATTGTCATCGTAGGTATCATACAAATAAATAGTTAAAATCGTACATTGTGATTTCTGGATTTTTTTTTTATTTAGATTATGTCTCTCACAGTGGACGTGCACCTATGATGACCATTTCAGACCCCTCCATGATTTCTAAGTGGGAGAACTTGCAAAATACTAACTTTCCTCACTGTATACATTTGCGATATTTTGATATATCGTGCAGCCCTAGCACAAACACTCGTCATGACATTAATATTCACGCTCACCCTGACCGCTCTCAGTCACACACAGGCGATGGGGTCTCGTGATCGGCACGTCTCTGACTCTCCTGGCTCTCCTGTGTCTCCTGGTGTTCGTCACACGCTGGCTGATCAGAAGAATCACATCAGGTCAGTCCACACACACTCTTGCCCACACACACTCGTTATTCAGATAGGTATCCATGAATCTGTCCACAGCTTAAAGGGTTAGTTCACCCCAAAATTAAAACTCTGTCAGTATTTACTCACCCTCATGTTGTTCCAACCCCGCAAGACTTTCGTTCGTCTTCGCAACACAAATTAAGATATTTTCATCCATAGGCTTCTAAGGGATTGAAACTTGCCGGCCCAGAAAAGTTATTAAAGACATCGTTAAAATAGTCCGAGTGACTCAACCTTGCATTTAACAAACGACGAAAATACATTTTGTGTTCAAAAAACAAACAATAATAATGATTTTTTTCTTCATAATTCGAATATTTAAAAAATCAATACTATTCGAATATTGCTTTTATTTAAAAATAAATATATACTTCCGAAGTGACCAGGTGTAAACGGCCCCTTATCGCTTTTTTTATTAACAATAGGAGAGCGCGGGACTAGCTTTCGCGTGGCACATTCGCAAGGTTACGTTCACTCCCTCACTGCCATGCACGCGCCGCGCGCGATGTATGTTATGCGCGGATTCTGGGAGATTTTAACTAATTTAATTTTAAAAACTAATTTTAACTAAGACGCTATCAATATGCGGGAGACTCCCGGAGCTTCCGACGCGATATGACGATCACATCACCTCAGATCTGAGCCCTTATTCGTCAAGCCAACGCGCCGCAATCTATCGCAAATCAAAGTGAAAGTAAGTCGCAGACGCTTAACACGACCATCTTCATTAAAAGTAAAGGAATGAACTGATATTACCAGGGCTGTTGCCGCTCTCTCTTAATGCTGTCTTTGCTGATTCTGAAATTAGCCGATGATCAATAAAATGCAGCTCAAATCAGTTGCTTTCGGTGACGTGCACTTCATTACATCTGTATATATTATATATATTGCAAAAAACACATTTATGTGAGCAGGTGTAAATGGAATCGTTTTGATAAATCAGAGCTATCCGATCTGAGAGAACGCATGAAGTGGCCAGACCTAAACAACGTTAGATGTCCCTCTAGTGGGCCGAACGTGTAACAACAACCACAGGCTGTAGTGGCATTGACGATCCATAAGAATGTGTAATGTCGTAAATATTAATAATAGGATAAATTTGAGCATTTAATATTCGAATATTATTTGAATATTACATAAAATAAAATAAGGAATGGAATTCGAATAGTATTATAGAGGAAGATTGACCAAGCCCTAATGACCAGCGTCGGCCAATAGTGAGCCTACGTGTGGAGACGTACAACACAGAAGTGCTGCCCAGTTACACTACGTGAGGCCCACAGAGACGGAAATGTCGTTAGTTTTCTTGCTTTTTGCATTCTCATCGCATGATATACTCATGGTTCAATTTTCAAATGGAAAATTTGGCAAATTATGAGCAAATTTGACAAGCTATAATAAGTGATCGAGGGGTATTTTGAGCTGAAATTTCCTGGCTCAAAATGTGTCTGGGGAAACTGGAGAATAATATTACATCTCGTGATCTTCTGAAAAGGGGCGTAATATGTCGCCTATAAAATGCTTTAATGCGGTGTTAGAAAGGATAATTATATGTCTTTCTTTCCTCAGTGTGGCGTAGCGCTGACCGACGCCCCGTGCTGCTTGTGTGCTCGTCTAACGGCTCAACACACATCTCTGCAGTGTGCAGTTTGGCCTCCGGCCTGCAGGGGGTGCTGTGTATGGACGTCAGGCTGGCGCAGTGGATGCAGTGCCAGCCACAATCCTCTCTGGCTCAGCTGGGACCCGTGCCGTGGCTGTACGGTCAGTGTCGGGCCGTTCAGAAGGCCGGCGGGCTCGTCCTGATCGTCTGGAGCCCTGACGCGCATCGGGCTTATCGAAGATGGAGGAACAGCGAAGGAAAGGTTAACTTCAGTGCTGTTGAAGAAGAAGAAGAGGAGGAGGAAGAAGCAGAAGAGGAAGAATGCATGGAGAAACCAGTTGAGCTGTCGTGCGTCACGGCTCCTGTGTTTAACGCTGCGCTGTCCTGTCTGTGGATGGGAATACGCAGCGATGGCTACGCTCGGGGATTCAGGCTAGTTAGCTTCCAGAACAACAACAATAACACTTTCATCCCTAAACGGCTCCGGTGTGTCCGGAAGTACTGCCTCCCGAAGGACCTTTCGTCTTTAATACACGACCTGACCGGCTCAACCACTAGATGGCGATGTTGGCCACGTCTTCTGTCCAAAGTGCTGTCGTTCTTCGTGTCTCGGCAGCTCGCGCCGACGCTAGCGGCGAAGCTTCCCACGCCGACCGACAGCCCTAAACTCGTTCCTGGCTTCTCACGGAAAGTAGCGAAACGAAAGACGTGGAGGCAAAAGAAGCGCAGAAGTAAAGTCGTAACATCGTGCTTGTCCAGAAAAGGGAGTTGGAAGAAAAAGACTGCGCCGGAGCCAATGAATTCGTAGCATGCGATGGTGCAAAAAAAATATGGACGTGACGTCACCCGTTGGTTTCTGAAGAGCATTTTTAAAGTGGGCGGAGCCGGCCGTCCTCATTTTGGCTGCACGTCACTCCCGGGCAGCGAGGTGGATTAGCATGATGCTAACAGACAGCAGACGAGCGCTAGTAGTGACATCAGCGGCAATCCAGCTGTCACTCAAGTGGCCACGCCTTTAATTATGCGGAACTTTAAGGCTTAATGTAATTTTAACGGATGCGTTATAAAACAATTCAGCCCCTTCACAGTCGTCATGAAGGGAAAAATTAGCTATATAGACCAAAACCACTTTTTGCACCAGGCCGTAAACATTTTTTTCTGCTGTAAAGTTGGGCATTTTAACTATGGAATTGACTCTCTTTTGGAGCCTGTCTCTAGTGGCCAGTCGATGAATTGCAGTTTAAGTCGTTTCAGTGTTGAAGCGAAAACATCCCAGTCCATCCAGCAGGGGAAACTAAACATTCTTACAGCAAAGTACGGCTTTCGTTCTTCGCTTATGAGTGAAAAGAAGTTTGAAATACCTTCGCGTATGATCATAGTGATGTGGGCATGTTTGCAACAGCTCTGCAATCACGTTTATTCATACATCACTTTATACAATAGATTGCTTTAAAGCAGCAGGTTAACAGTATTAAACATGAATTAGACATGCTTCCAATTAGAATTACAACTTCAGTTTCTTCTATAAAGCAGCTTTCAGTGTGTTCATGTTTTCACTCACATCTGACCTCAATGGACTGAACAGAAGAAATTAATCTCAGACAATTTACACCTCAAAGAAGGCGGGGCCTCAGAGCCACACCCATCTATTACATCATCGTCACTGAGCAATAGGAGTTCAAAGGTGTTTAGCAGCCGGAGTGAATTTTAGCTGTAGCCAGAGCAAGTCGCAGCAGATCAAGCATCAATAATCACATCCATATAGATTGATCCATTAAAACAATACAGTAAAAAACAGTCATGCTAAGATTGGCATCTGAACCATTTATTTAGTGCTTGCTTAAAACTTCTGATCATCTTTAGATTTTCTGGCAACCTGTTCTACAAACAAAATGAATCTTTACCTAGATTACTCTTAAAGGACTAGTTCACTTTAAAAAAAAAAAAAAAAACTTTTGCTGATAATTTACTCGCCCCCATGTCATCCAAGATGTCCACGTCTTTCTTTCTTCAGTCGAAAAGAAATTAAGGTTTTTGATGAAAACATTCCAGGTTATAATGGACTTCAATGGGGTCCAAACGGTTCAAGGTCCAAATGAGCGTTTCAGTGCAAACTGTTCAAAGGGCTTTAAACGATTCCAGACGATGAATAAGGGTCTTATCAAGCGAAACGATCGCTCATTTAATAAATAAATAACAAAGTTTAAGTTTTATAAGCTCAAATGCTCGCCTCGCTCTGTTCTGTGACGCACGTTCGTGACTCTCCTGTTCGAACTCGTTCATCAAAATGATCAAATCTTTTCCAGAGTCAACTCATTCATTTTGTTCGTTGAATAAACCAAATGACACTAAAAAAGATTTGTTCATTTTGATGAATCGAACGAGTTCGAACAGGAGAGTCACGAACGCGCATCGCAGAACAGAGCAAGGTGAGCATTTGAGCTTATAAAACTTTAACTTTTTCATTTATTTATTAAATGAGCGATCGTTTCGCTTGGTAAGACCCTTATTCATCGTCTGGAATCGTTTAAAGCCCTTTGAACAGTTTGCACTGAAACTCTCATTTGGACCTTGAACCGTTTGGACCCCATTGAAGTCCATTATAACCTGGAATGTTTTCATCAAAAACCTTAGTTTCTTTTCGACTGAAGAAAGAAAGACGTGGACATCTTGGATGACATGGGGGCGAGTAAATTATCAGCAAAGTTTTTTTAAAAAGTGAACTACTCCTTTAAGGTCACTTAAGACCCAAGACACTCCCTTGAGGGACCCATTCTCATTGGTTCTTTGATCAGCTGATGTAAACTAAAGCGACAAAAATTCATTGCCGTCTTCTAGACAGTCGTTCGAGTATCAGTATTAAAATCTTCTATCCGATTTGACAAAATTCATACACTTTAAACAGACTTCTTCCAGAATTTCAAAAAGCATTGTCAAGTGGCCATCGCATGCTCCAAATATAGGCTTGCTCTTCGGCAACAGATGCTTAACCAGACCGCTTCAATTTGGTCATCATTCAAGTCCGTTCTCTTGATTAAAACCGATGTCTGATCTCACATAGTCACACACACCTCCACCTTTACGGTTTCAGTCTCACCTGATTAAAATACAGTTCTCTATTTCAATTGTCATCCAGCCTCGACTCGGTACAACAAAACAAAAAATAGAGAATTGTATTGTATTGTATTGTATTGTTTCTGCTTCTCACGTTATTAAGATGAACCGCATGTTGAATTTCCTCATTTGTAAGCAATGAATGCATGTGAAGAATGAAGTTAACTCCCTATAAAGACCGGTGCAGACTCAGAGAAATGAAGAGTATGTAAAGTATTTATCTTCTGATGTAATTTTTTTAAATAAATGACTAGCCAAGTCTGGTCTCAAAGAAAATCTAGTTTCCTATTGATGCATTCATGTTGTTTCTGACATCTGATGTGTTCAGTATGCGCTCTCTCAAGGAAAAAACAGTGACCTCATCCTGTACAAATAAATGTGAAATTCTATATTTTTGTATAAAACCTGCATCTGTATACTTTTATTTGTGTAAATAAACGCAGCAAACATCCATACTCCGCTTTATCTGATTATTATTTCACCACAACCCAGCCTAATGATCTCTCTGTCTGCAAAACAAACAAATCAACCAGAAGAAGATGTAAAGCAGTTCTCGAGTGGTCACACTCACAATGATGTTATCTTTATTTTGACAGAATCGGGAACCATCTTGAACCCATTTGACCAACAGTGAAACCTATGCAAATGCGAGCGTATGTTTGTTTCATAAAATGCATAAAAAAATAATTACATGGACCTGATACCACAGGATCTATATATCCTGGATCCCGTGCCGTGAAGAAGATGTTTTCCCTCGAGCTGTAATCATGTTTTATGTGCAGCATGTTATGAAATGCTACCGAACAGGTTTTCTCAACGGTCCGATGCTTCAGGCGAGTGTGTCGGACCGTAAGAGACATCATGATCACACCAATTATGGAAAGCTTATGCAAAATATCCCAAACTCTCGTTTAACACGCGTTAGGTTTGGACAACTGCTGAAGAGTTTCGACCGAAGCCAACACTGGAACAAAACAATGGGAGAGACGGAGAGTTGTGCGCTTCATTAGGCTCTCAGACTCAGTCATCGATTTGCTCCCGCAATTTTGAATATGTTTTCCTCAGTTAATACAACAAGCTATTGACTGACTCTATTTGTAGAATTTGCAAACATAACGTTAGACGATATAAACATAAACACATAAGCGCCTTTATAAACATTCAACATAACAAATAATAATAGATCCAAAAAGTAAAAAAATACAATAATTTGCTGCCAAAAAAAAAAAAAAAAAAAACTGGGGGAATTCCCTTAATTCAGCCAAGAGGTCAATGTTTCTTATTGATCTCCTGATGTTTAGTAAGATTATGCCGTTTTATGGCAGTTCGCAAATGTTGAGGGAAGAAAATACTAGTTCACTTTTAAATTAATTTTTGATATGTTTTAGCTTACCTCAAGGGCATCCAGGTGTCTTTGTTGACACACTATTTTCAATTTTGACATATTTCGGTCAAACCGTTGTTGTCTGTCAGTAATATAATGGAGGTCTATGGTCACCACCTCAAAGAGCATGCAGATTAAACATGATTGAATGACTCGTAAATGTAAGTACACATTGGTGGCCTAAGACACGAAACGAGCGGTTTGTGTGAGAAAACGAACAGTATTTATATCGTTTTTACCTCGTGTAACCACAGCCACGTCCAACTGATCTGAATCAGATGTCCAACTGAATCATGTCCAACGATCCGCCGGAAGTGATCTCTTGCGCGTGTACGTCACTCATTGTTTACACGGAGATTTCGGAAGTTTTACCTTTCACTGTGAAGATCTAAACATATTTAGATATACAAGAAATCGCAATAGAAGACGATTTCGATATATCTAATCTAAATATGTTTAGTGAAATGTAATGTCCGCAAAGACACATTTATCTGCAAACACAAATAAAACTGCAGTGAACCAAACTAGACAGTCTCAAAAACACACGTTGAAATCGCTGGTGTTTCTGACGTCACAAACCACCTTGTAACCAATCAGATCAACGTGTGATCGTCAACCAGTGGATCTCTGAGGCCCTGTTTACACGAGAACGCTCGCGGGTGAAAACGTAAAAATATTTGATCGGATGTGCCTTTCGTTACACGGCGACGGCGTTTTGGCAGTGAAGGTTGTACGCAGGCGCGCGGACTTGGTGTTGTTGTGTGGCTGTGCTTCACATCGCCACCTAGCCGCCTGGAGTGCATACTACATTGATTTTCACGCACTTTTGCGTCACCATACGCACGTGGATTTCCCACCCAAAACGCTTGTCTAAACGCAGAATAAAAAGTGATAACGCAACGCCACTTTAGCGTTTTCTCTTCAGAATCATTTCCGTGTAAACATAGCCTGAGTGAGTGAGTGGAGGCGGGGCTCATTTGCATATTCATAGAACCGCGCATACTAAATGAGGCAAGGCTGTCGAGTTACATTCAATCTATTTTAAGGCATGAAGACTTTTTAAATATGATTAAAGATGAGTTTTAAGTGATAATATTATTGACTACAGAGGGATTTTATCGAATTCTTCAATGAAAGCTTAATAACACCTGTCTCTCATTTTTAATCACTTTATTAAAACAAGCTCAACTGTCTCAAGACGATCTTAACATCCAGATTGATGTTGCAACCAGATTCAGTGAGTGACTCTATTCTGTCTTCTCTTCTATTCCCGAAACTGTGATGTAACAACCCTTTTATGCATTATGGGCCTGTCCCATATGAGTCTGACACACTTCATGTGCAGCAAGTCCACAAGACTGATCTGTGGTTTCAGGCTTCAGAAGGTCTCCGTTTGCCCACTTCAACCCAAAAGTGTCTCATAGGACACTGTCCCTTTTCGTCACAGAATTATTTATTTTTCTTGAAAATCATACATGAGATGACGTTTGCAACCCATTTTAGTTCTCTAAACAATATTGATTGTGAAGAAAAAAAATCAGGGATTGTTTCTGGTGAAAAGTGTTGATAAATCAGCTGAAAGTTTTTACAACTGGATGAAAGATTAATAGATTTTTTGGGTTTACTTTCTTTTAATGTGTCATTTGTTACAAGTACTGAGTAAAATTAATTAACTACAGCATGTAGGCCTATTATAGGCTACAGGTTTAGGGTTAGGATTGTGTATAGGGTTAGAAATACTTTATAGTTATACTATAGTACTACTATAACAGGGACACAAAATAAGATAATGCCGACTTGTTTTAATCAGACTGATGAATCGCATAAGGGAGGAAAGTTTGAAACAGACGCATTTGATGTCTATATATCTCAAGATCTCAACATACCATTTCCAATCCATTGCACTTCTACAGGCTGCGTGAGTTAAACAAGCTATTCATCTGGAAGAAATGTGTCCGGGTAAAGGAGAATCGCAAACACTGAACTACAGCAAATACTGTTGTGCTCGAGCGCTGGAGTTCAGTTGGCGTAAACAAATGTTCCTTCACGCAGACGCGAGTCCTGGAACAAAACAAACACTCAAGACAAGTTCGTTTTCAGATCATTTGAGCTCAAATATGTCACGCCAGCTTCTGATGTAATATGAGGGCTTCGGTTTTAGTTGCTATATTTGCATAAGACCCATTTACTAACTCTGTGCGTGACAAACAAACGCACATGCAAAGCACAGGACACGCGATAAACAACATGTCTTCCTCCACATGTGTTTAAAACAGACGAAGGACAGGAATAGTGTGTGTGTGTTTCTATTCGTTTTAAAGGTCACTCTGAGCAAAGGCTGGTCAGGGAGAGACGGGGAATCCCAAATACACAAACGATCCTTTAAATAACCTATGACCTATGGTTTTGAACATCGACATTGTAAGGCATTTGACCAGTGGTTTAATTTTACTGCTGTTATATAGAGTCGGGAATCGTTTGACTTTGAGCGATTCCGATTCTTATGAATTCCTAGTTTTTAAGTAAAAAGAAAAGAAAAGGAAAAAAAGCGCATCATTCACCTCAAAGTCTTCTTGCAAATCATTTCATCACAGCTGAATGCCATGAACAAAAATATACAGGCTAAAGAACGCTTAAGTAAACACTCAATAAGACAAATACAATGTAAGATTTTCAGGAAGAGAAACTAAATCAAATGTTAAATAACACTGCACCTTATAAATAACATATACATTACAAATACAAAAGTTATTTTGTATGATGATAATATGAAATTAAAAACATTTTAGATGTCTTGTACAGCACACTGGTCAGTCTCGTCGTGGCTGTACAGTATTAAATGTGCTCTAAATGAATTAAACTTGAACTTTTCAATTCCCAATCTTAGTTATAACAGTTCGACATAAAAAAAATGAAAGGTTCTTTATTTTTTTAAATTCTAACATCTAGAGGTTGATATAATCAATTACATTTATTTTTTATTTTATTTTATTTCCTTTATTTTTCCAGGAAGGTCCCATTGAGATTAAAAGAAATCTCTTCCTCCAGGGAGTCCTGGCCACAAATATGGCCACATTTATTCTGAGATGGTTAAAATGGTTCTTTTAAACTGTTCACTGAAAAGGTTCTTTGGGGAACCTAAATAGTTTATCGCTGAGAAATAACCTTTTATTGTTTAAGAGTGTTAGAAACAATCTGTACTTTCTAATAAATGTCTGGCAACCCCGCTACAAGAAATTAACTGTGATTAAACTGCCTGAATTTAATTTTAAAAAGTGAATGATAGGAGCTTTTACTGTTAAAATGTTCATCAGCATCTATTACAGTGTGTGTAATTTTAAATGAAAGTGTTAGGTTAAAGGAGAAGGCTAGTTCACTTTAAAAAAAAAAAAAAAACTTTTGCTGATAATTTACTCACCCCCATGTCATCCAAGATGTCCATGTCATTCTTTCTTCAGTCGAAAAGAAATTAAGGATTTTTCTCCATGTAATGGACTTCAATGGGAACCAAACGGTTCAACGTCCAAAAGACCAAAAGACAGTTTCAGCGCAAACTGTTCAAAGGGCTTTAAACGATTCCAGACGATGAATAAGGGTCTTATCAAGCGAAATGATCGCTCATTTAATTAATAAATAAATAAAGTTTAAGTTTTATAAGCTCAAATGGTCGCCTTGCTCTGTTAGGATTAGGGTGTGATGTGCGTTCGTGACTCCCCTATTCGAACTCATTCATCAAAATAAACAAATCTTTTCCCGAGTCAACTCATTCATTTCGTTCGTTGAATGAACCAAATGACATGAAAAA